GTTAACTGAAAAAAAAAAAAGTCTTTACCCCCCCCCCCCCCCCCCCCCCCAAACACACACGGTAACATCCATGCCCTCCAAGAACCCCTCAGCCTGTAAACCTCACCCACACCCTCTGCTGATCAACTGCACATTTTAACAAAACCAGGAATCAATATTTTAACGAAAAACCTGAGACTTTGCTCCAAGGAAAGGAGTATGAATAATGAAGGCGGTGAGTGTGTGTTTTACTGATTTGTGTCATTGTCTATATAAGAGTGCAAGTGTGGTTATGGCAACTTCTTTCATTAGGTGCACAGCTGAATTTCAACACCCTCCTAGACAAAATCCCAAAAGGATAAAGTATTGCACTTCTTTCCAGCTGGCCTGGAGGAAAGTAGTTGGTGTATCATTAAATCGAAAATGGGAAAAAGCTGATAAGATCCCTTTTCCTGACGGTTGCAGAACAAAAATGTTTCAGTGCAAGTGGAATAAGGTTTCCAGAAACAGTTAAGAGTGTTCCCCCTTTATGTCAAGCCAGGATGGCTGTGCTCTGGTAGGCAGCTGAGACCACTGTCTTTTTAAACTGCAGAAGATACAAGTTCAAGGATGTTCACTCGTCTGCCACTGTCTTTCGTACACTTGTTTATTTTTTTGTTACAATTGGCAAATCTCTCATTTAGGTAGCAATGGTTTTAATAATGATTAAATGGTTTCAGTTGCCACATTCTTAGCATAAACGACACAAAAACATGGATTCTCCATCTAAAAGGAGCTTCCAGAAGGTAAATAAACCATGTCAAAAAGCTTTGGTTACTAACTAGTTTAACATAAGACCAGTGTTACCAATGGTCTCCCCAGCCACCAAAACTCAAAAGAACCTTTTGGGATGGGTGTTGGAATGGGAGGCTCTCCGTTGACATTTCTGGTCAATATTAGAATAAGAAGATTTTCACATTTTGAGTTTTAGTCCTTTTTGTCCTTTCGTTTCCAATTGTTTTTTTCTCGCAGCTCCTTTTCAGCACAAGAAACTCAGATTCCAGTGGATTTGCAGCAGAAGTCGGAGTTTCTTATGTTGAGAGAGATCATCCGTTTTGTCTGCCAGGGAGCGAACGTTCGCCAGGTGCATTGACTTGGGTGAAGCATGAAGTCTTTGCTGGCGTAACTTTCCGACCGTACTTGCCTATTTTTCCTCTTCCATGTCTTTGGCAAATCCCACAGAGAGCAGCTGTGCTTCCAACCTAGATCTCGGTAAAACTTTTTTTTGTTCAGTGAAGGCTGGAGGGAAAATGCTCAGTGAGAATTGCAGACGCTTAGAAGTTGCTCTCTGGTAAAAGCAAATTAATAATAACACCAGCAAAGTACACATTAACCATTTTGTCAAGGCCTGAATCAATTGAAATGCCATCTTTTTCTAATTTCTCTTGCATATATATTCTTATTTGTTAAATAAATGTTTTGGTTTTACTTGAATTAAAATGAATTCTGTTGCTAAACAGTCGCATGTTGCCACAGGTTTCGCCGTAAAACATTTTACAGAATAGATGAGAGAAAAGTAGAGCATTTTCTCATTTTACATTACACGCACAAAGTGTGGGTTTCGAGTTACATTTTATTTCAAATCAATAATCGCAGCAAGAACAAAAAAACATAAAAAAAAAAAAAATCCAATTAAAATTCTTTCCCCAACAGTATGTAAAGCACACAGAAGAGCAAAAAATATTTATGAAACCTGTAGTGGAATTTAAATGCATACTAGACAGAGTCTGCAGATGCTGCCTTTCCCTTTGGCAACTTCAACTTCACAGACAAGTTGAAGTTGCCTTCAACAGCATTAAGTTAGAAAGAAAACCGAATCCCATTACACTTTGTTTACGTTGACTTTGGTCTTTGCCAAAAACTTACCTCTCCACACCATCCTTCAGCAACAAGATGTATCAATTGATTTATCGTGAAAGTTGTTCTGTGGTGAGGAAACTCAGATTTGAACTGATTAAAGTCTTTTCCAGTTCTTACATGCATTTGGTGTCATTGTTTATGTCTAGACTCGCATTTAAAACTGTCAGGGATGTAATTTGTCGTGGAATACACCATCAGTTGCTCCGTATGTTTTCATAAAGGCATATTTCAGTAGGTAGGCCTCCAAACGGAGCTCTTCCAAGAATTGATGGGATTGTTTCATTTCCTTTGTGCTTCTTTTTCACGGTTCTCTCTTGTTTTATAGTGCTCCTCTGGAAGATTCCTTAGCTTCTCAGCAGCCTGAGATGGAAAGAAAAGCAAAGGTGGATTTTAAAATTATAACAAATGAAGAAAGAAACGGCTTATTTTTTGTATGCCATGTACTAGAACTGTTAAACCTGGACATTTTAACAGCAAAAATGGAAAAACTCCTTCCATTTTGGGACAAGTTTAGGACATTATTTCAAAATCTAATCTTAAAATTTCTCTAGAATGTAATTTCTAATCTATCCACTGCGTTTCTTTGCCCACTTAATGAAGTTTGTTCACTGTTATGTGACAGTTCTCTCACGGTATGACATGAGTGTCTTTACTCTGAGATTAGATTATAAACGGGAGAGCTCTCCAGTAATGCGGCAAAATGTGGACATGTTCAAGAAGTACGGATACTTTTGCAAAGCACAGAAGTACATCCTTATGCGTCCTGTATTGCAGAACACAAAGTACGAGCAGATTGCTGTACAATGCAAAGTGTGTTACCTGTTCTGGCGTTAGATCCCTTTGCTCCTGGGCGAGCATCTCGTACCCCACCATGAACTTTTTCACTGTGGCTGAACGTAGCAGAGGGGGGTAGTAATGAGCATGGAGCTGCCAGTGGGAGTTGTCTTCTTTTAAATGAGGGCCAGTTGGGGCTCCTGAAGAATAAACATAACAGAGGGGAAAGAAAGGTAACGTAAGACTGGAGACCGGCCCTTATGTTGATTAAAAGGTTTTGTTCATACCAACTGCTGACTGTTCAGCTTATTAAAATGGACTGAGGTTACCATAAGACACTCCAATTTCCAAAAGCATCTGTAATTGCTCATCAAATCTTTTCATGCATACATGAAGGTTTGTTTTCTGCATGAAGACAGCTCCTCAAATCCCAAACCACCTACAGTCAGGTTTGGACTACATAGTAGAAATGTCATGTTATAAATGCCAACTGTTGCTCAGTTACGTCACATTAAGAAAGCAGCTAACATATTCCTTTTTAAAAGAAAAAAAAATAATAAGAAGAAGAAATTGGAGGTTAAGCCAAAGCGGCAGTTTTATACAGTAACTTTGAAAATAAAACTCTGGAACAGTTTGTGATTTTCAAAAAAATTCTTAGCAAAACAGAAGATTTGAAGGAGATTTGTAGAAGATTTGTGGCATGAGACGTATTGGCTCATGCTTCTGCCTTTATCAGTGTGTCTGATCTGACAGGAAAACGTCAATGACCTCAATCTTTTCAGACCTTTCACTGCGACATCCTTTTGTGATAAGAAGTCATCTGATTAAACACAGGGTGACTGTTCAACAATTGTGTTAAGATCACTTTTCATCACTAAAATTACACTAAATGCCCATTTCAGAGGGTTATGAAACAATATACATGTTCACTAATGTGCAACGATAGCATTTAAGTATCCTTTTTATTTTACCCTATACAAACTTAATGAAAATAATCAGTAGAGTAGAAACAGGAGTACAGCTCTCTTAAAACACAATGGAAGTAAAAGAAAATCCCCGGAGAGATTGAAGAAAGTGTTTTCTCTTGAGTCCATTTACTGACAATGGGGACTAATCAAACACAGATAAAGGAGGCAGAGGAGCAATATAAAGGAAACTAATTGATAAAGAAAGAAGGAACAAAGACGAGCCTGAAGCAGACAGATAAAGAATGAACACAGATGGGCACTCCTATTAGAAGACAATTACCCAGTTTTAAATGGTCTCCAGGTTTATTTGTAGATGCAATGCTTATTAATGTATGAGCGTGTTTCCCTAGACAGTAGGCCATCAATTACAGCGGCAACCAGTGTGACAGGAACAAACTCCCTGCATGCAAACAGTGTCAGGAAACAGCTTTCCATCTGAACAAAAGTCCAGTTTCTGAAATTAACATTCTGAGGGAGAGCTTGCTCTTTTGAATAATAAAGTTTACTGCCTCAAAGGCCAAATGTCATTGATGGGACATTTAACTCGGCATTGTTTAAAAAGTTCAAAAGATTATGTAAGGCTGATCTGTCCAAAAGTTTAAGATGAATTGGGTGTTGACCTTTTAGGAAAGATGATGATTCAAAACACAAAAGGATATTATTTTTATGGTTCTACTACTAAATAAAGGAGGTTTTCAGAATTCCTGGTCTTAAAAATCCCCAAAGATCTCAGGAAACTATTCCCAGGAACCAGTAAGCGATTGGTCAGAGCGCACACAGAAGGAATTTCAACAATCCCCTCATCAATGATATACTTTTAGAGGAGAAAGAATATGGCAGGTTTAGTGTGTGAACAAGCTGCAGTTTCTTTTTAAAATATCTCAGCACTGTTTGAAAAAGAATTATCTTACCCTATCTGAGTCCTTGGTTATGGTGCAACAATAAGATAAGAATACATTGTCCATTTTATTATAATTTCATTAAGTTATAATCAGTCTAAACTTTTCTCATTTGCTTTCTTAGTTGATCATTTGTCCCAATTTCAGCCTTTTCACACACTAATTCCTCTAAGTACAAGAAAAAAGAGGGTGCTAATGAACCAAACTGACATACCACATATGCGTAGGTGTTGTCTCACCTCCAAAGAAAAAGTGTTGAAACAAAAATGTGTGATATGAAATACCCTATTACTTCATAAAGTGTTCAGACCTCTGTTGAAAGGCCAGATTTTATGCAATTAGAATTGAATAAATTCTTATAAAATCTTTTCCACACATAATGTGACATATATCATCTACCTTTCAAGTGGAAAACAAACTAGTAGTGGAAATCATGTAAATATGGAGGTACAATAACTTTGCTGTGTAAGTGCACTAATGCTTCGTTGAAGCACCTTTTCATTCAGTCGTGGCATTTAGCCTTCTTGAATTAACACCTGCTATCAATTGTAGAGAAGCTGGTTAACTTGAGATAAAGTTCAGCTTATGGAGAAGTATTCTTAATACAATTAATACATTTTATCCTATGATTTTCACAGTGATTACTGGGTCATTGACGTTTTTGACGGTCAGGTGTAGCTTCTGAACCAAACAGCTGGCAAGGCTACTGCTAATCATTAAAACAAACTGCTAATCATAAAAAAAGACTGTGTGGTGCAGCTGATTCAAACGTAGTTTTGGTATGAGCTGCACATGGAAAAGCAAACCAAGCTTGCGACCTAGTAATGCCATTATGACTGCAGCCGTTATGTGTGGAGGTGGGATAAGATCCAACCACGATAAGCATGACTCCAGTCCTCTAACCCATAACTTTCAGCAAATCACTGTAATCCCTCTGACATGAATTGTACCTTTGAGCCTTGAGCAGCAAAACAGAATATGAGATTAAAGCCAAAACGTATCCAAAGACCACCTGAGGCAAGTTTAAACTAAGATTTTCTGTAAATATTTGATATATGATTGAAAAAAAAAAAAAAGGGAATAAAGTGGAGCTAGGCTTGTCCTCTCATGCCCTCTGCCCTCTCAGCCAAACCACATACTGTATCATCTTTCTCTTTACCAACTACCTTTTATTTCGGCTAGTTTGCAGAGAGCAACTTTCTTTTTTTTAAAAAAGAGAACAAATACGAAAGAAGATTTTAAAAACTGTATAAAATCCACCCAGGTGTTGAGATTTAAAAGAAGGTATGGCTTTATTTTCTTAAACTGATATAGAGTAGATCACAGCTTTAAAAGAATACCTCCATGAGTGAATTTAAATTTGTGTGAGTTAATGCTAGTCTGTGAGCCCGTTCACTAAATCAAGCAGGATTCTTTCCAATCTTACGGGTTATTTTAGTTGCATAATTGGCCACGCACGATTTCTGACCAGCCTGTTACTGAAAGTTAAAAGGAAATAATTCAGAAATGGAGGGGTAAAATAACAAATCGGAAAGAATCTGCGCATCAACAAGTGATACATGTAGAGAGCTAATCTTAGGTCATCTTTATTTATGCCTTTTAACTTATAGTAAATAAAAACAAATTTAGGTTTTTCTGAAAATTACAATATTACATTCAACAGTTCCACGACAGCATATAGTCGAACCCGTGACTTCCTGTGTGATAATGTTCTATTCTATTCTATTCATTAAGAATCCTATAAAGAAAATCTTAATCAGATGGTCAGACGCTAAAGAAAACTGCAAATTAAACTGGTCAGTGAAAGGCTGACTGATGCATCACGTAACTTTGTTCTATGAAATCAAACAACAAACAATGAATCTTGGCTAATGAAACTTCAGCACTTATTCAAGTAGATGGGTAATTTCGATGGTAATGTGCTTCCTAACATAAAACAGAAAAAGGTCAAAGCAGCTCTCCAATTTTTGGACACTTTATCATTCAAATATGCAAAAGAACATGTAGCAGTTTCAGTCTCTGCACTGTTGCTTGATCTGCTTTAAAAGTCTGGAATTACACCACAAGTGAGTGCCCTTTACGTGCGAGACCTCCTGCTTTACATAAGAGAGAGCTTTCTTAATGCATTAAATATTCCAGCGTGTCTGTCTGGGTGTGCATTGAAGTGGTAATACGGCGAGTATGAGGGTGACATCAAAGATGAGAGGGTTCTCATATAATTTATTAGGGTGGCAGTGATTGAAATGCAACAATGGTTATCTAACCTCTGATAGATGTACACTGCACCCCAACTCGTATCTTTCCATGACATCTGACGGGTAAATACATATTCATATGTGATGCTTGTGTTGCATGATGGCTGCTTTCGCAAAATCAGTTTTGAGTGAAGACTGATGAAACATGGAGATGTAGAGAGAAATACCATGTAAAATTATATTGATCTGACTTTGCTTGTGCAAATCTTTAGATAAGTGAAGAGAGAAGGAGAAGAGAGGGCAGTGGAGCTAATGGACATAAAATAACAAAAACAGAAAGGATGGAAAATGATAATAAAAAGCAAGGTGATGGAAAAACAGGACTAAGGAGGTTGTAAATAAGTCATTTCTGGTGATTTTGTATGAAGAGTGTAAAGAAGTGGAGCTGGAGTGGATTTGAAGCTGAAAACCTGCAGGGTGTGACTGCCACAATCCTAAAGCACCTTTGATCCTCTTACTGCTGGTTAATTTGATGTGGCATTGGAAGCACATTACAGTTGTAACTGCAAAAACTCCTCCTCATCACACTATTGATTACAGTCACAGATGAACATCCTCTCTAAGGATTCTTAGGTGAATTTACCTTTTAAGCTTCATTTAAAAGTAAGAGTCCTTAAAGCCAGTCTTTGTTGCTACAAATCTCTATTCAGATCCACTAATCCATCCAAAATGCAAAAAAAGAACCCATTCAATTTGTAACACAAGAGATTATGTTTAAAACCACCAAAAAGCATTTGTCTAATTGTCTTACCGTGCCAGCCCATCGAGTACGGGAACGAAACTTCAAACAGGTTATCGTACTTGGTCAGCAGTTGCTTCATGATAGCTGCCAGACCTGATAAAACAACCATACAAGTACAGGAAAAAAGAAAAAGAGCAATAAGGAATTTGATTTGAATGGGAACATACTAAAGCACAAAGTAACATGGAATAAACTTTGTGTTATCATATCACTAAGTGCTGTAAATTTGACAAAATGTCTCCAACTCATGTAAATAATGTCTGTTATAAAACCTCGTACTTATTTGACAGCTTTTAAAGTTTCTATTTCTTTGTGATGAAGATAATAATCTTAACACAGTAAATCTGCAGCTAACGCAAAGACAGTGTCTTACAAAAACTGCTTTTCTCTTGGTCACTTTTAAATTTCATTGTCTTCACAGCCTCTTAATCCATGCGGACCACACCGGGAAAACGCCAAGATATAACTTTATTTTATATCAAAGTGCAATGAAATCAAGAGAAAATGCTTGTCAATTCGTGTTACATCCTTTAAGAACTTAATATTATCTAAGTGATTTAGAAATTCAGCGAGCTTGGAAATACTCCTCAACTATCGGTAAGATATTGATTGATGAATCACATGTTGAAACCCTTGAGCAGAAAAATGGTTCCAGATAGTAGATAGATTTTTACACATTGTTTTTGTAAAAATTTTACACTTTTATTTACGGACAGATGGATGAAAGGCAGGGAGGAAGGCAAAGCGGACACAAAGTAGAAAAAAACAGCCACAAAAAGACCAGTATAAAAGGCCAGAAGGAGGGAAAGAAATAAGAAAGTCAAGTAGCATGGACACAAGGAAGAAAAGAAGGAATGAGGGAAAGAGGCAGTCAAGACAACATTTACATGGAATGAGTGAATTTGAAATCCTCTCTGTTTCTCCGAGATTTTGCTTCTTGAGCTAATACCAGATAGTGGAACTCTAAGAGTCGTAATCATTTGATTAGATTACATTTTTAATAATCCGAGGCAATATTTTAAATGTTTTATTCCAAAATCATAAAACTTCCCCTTTTATCTTTAATTAATTTGTTGAAAACCAGTGGCGGTATGCTTGTTTCTGTTTTTCTGTTTATTTTTACTTAATTGAATCACCAGAAAATATTTTTAATTGAAGATAAATTAAAACACTGATTGCATAAACCTCTGTCTCTTTACTGAAAGTGTAATTATCTTTGATTAATTAATACTAAATAAATACTAATCTAAAAAAAATACACAGACTCTTCTTTAGATCTGTGAATTTGTTCAATAGGAGATAATCAGTTTTTAACATATTTCTCATATTTTGAAACTGTTTTAATTATGCATATTAATAAAGCTAATCAATTCTACATGTTTGCACAGTGTATATTTCAGCACCTCTATTTTCTTTGGACAATTCACAAGAGACTGATGACAAATATATTGAACTATGTTAGAAACGAGATTAAATAGAGATGCACAGATTTCATCCGTTGACTGGAATCTGACACGTTTCCATTTAATCCTCCCCAAATGCAGAGTAGTTTGTAGGAACTGAAACATCTGATGTTTTCCCGATCAGTAAACGCACCACGCCTAAGCACTACCAAGTGGTGCTGACATTAGCACCCTTTTATGTGGACGCTGTTACCGACTAGAAAAAAACTGAAAGGCAGTGATTTTCAGTATCAGCAGGTCTTTAAAAGAAAAGTCAAAAGATGGACAAGGGTGTTAGAGGCTCTTTAAAAAGGGGAATCATATTTTTTATTATGCTATTTCAAAGCATGTTGCAGTTTATTCATGCTCTGAAAAAGTGAAACTTTCAGCAAATACATAAAGGTTACCCAATCTTAAAATCAACGCCTAGACACTTAGTGACATTATCAGGCAGATATGAGGATCAAATAGTTATAAAATCACTACAGTCTGTTTTAAATTACAATAACGTCAAAATTATCCTTTCAATTTGTTTTGATTTAAGTAAAGCTTTTCCATTAAAAACAACTTTTCATGAGGTTAAGTCGCCATGTAAAAAAAAGTTACAAATTACATTTTGGTTTCTGAGAAGCTTGAATGTGACATGAATGACCATCAGTAAAACCTGCAGGTTCTTCACTGAGTCACTCAGTCGCCTTAGACAGATCTTAATCACCTCCCTGCTCTCTCTGTCACTCGCTGTGTCAGTACTTTCACACACAAACACACACACTTACTGTCACGCTCCTCTCCTGTCAGTTCATTGATCCTGAGGATGTGTCGTCGTGGTAACAGCAACGTCTGGTAGGGCCACATTGCCCAATATGGGACCACCACCAGCCAATCAGAATTCTCCACCACCACACGCTCCTAAGAGAACAACAGATTTTTACGCAAGTTATCTACATTTTAAGAACAAAGAGCAAAGTGTTCTCTAAAATAGATACTTAAATGCCAAATGTAAAAACAGCATAATTCATTCTTAAAATCAGTAAAGTAATGACACTTCAACATTGCTTTTGACTTTTAGAAGAACATTTTAAAGTAGATTAGATTTTCTATTAAAATTCATAAAGTGAAAAGTTTTGTCCCTTACAAACATGCCCATAACTCCATCCTTCCATACTTAGTCTTTAAAACGCCAATGAACCGTTTAGTTTATTGGTGACACAATAAACTAAATTACATCACTGTGGATTATGTTTGTCGGTGAACATCAACTTTTAAAGTCTTGCCAGATATTCTTTGATTTAGGTCTGATGGTTTACTGGGCCGTTCTTACAGATTAATAGGTTTAAAACATTTCTATTGTTATGAAGTTACCGTGCCAATCATGCAGGAAAATTAACCTGTGACCCAACTTTCTTGCAGGATAGCCCTGTATTCAGCTCATTCCATCTTACAATAAAGTTTAATCAGCTTTCTAGTCTCTGTCGGGGGGGGGGGGAAATGTCCCACAGCATGATACTGTCACCACCGTGACTCACTATGGGATAAGTGTTAATGGAAACATTAAGGTTTAACATTTTTGCAGCTTGTCAAGCTGATGCATGTTGAGAGCTCTCTTGGTTGCTTCTCTGATTATGTCTCTCTCTTCAGTTGGACTGTGAGGTCTGGATAGGTTTGAAATTGTCATTCAACAGATTGAACAGGATTTTGTAAGATATACAGAGCTAAGGATATTGTTTTACAACCCAAACCCTGTCACAACTTTACCTGTGACATGTCTGTTGATCTGTTTGTTCAGTGATGTTCTCGAATAAATCTCTGAGAGCTTCCCTTGGCAGCTGCATTTACAGTAAGATTTATTCAGACGACTTCTGAGAACAAGTATTGGTCAATTGAATCTACTAATCCAATTCTTTGCCTACTTGGGATGCATCGCAGCATATTCAGAAACAGTGTGATACTACAGGGGGTGTATTAGGTCTGTTTTAATGCTTAAAGCATTAGAACCCATAATACATGAATGCAGGAGTCTAAAGTTTTACCACCCAACGTCACTTTTTTTCTTTATCTGGCTCATTCAACGGTGGTGCAATCTTGTTAATTCTAATCATATTTGTATTGTTTTCTTCCATACTGCTGTTTTTGCATTTACTGACAGCATCCATATTAATCATATGGAGGAGCTCAGATACTTAAGTCTTTATTGTATTGTATTACATCTATTAAAAAAAGGGAATAGTAAGTACGAACTACCACTTGGTGTAATTAAAAAAAAACTAAACAACAGAAAAGTGAATTTGAAATGATAATCAAACTGGTCAGTAGGGAAAACAGTGTAATTACCATAAAATGTTGAATGCAGAACGTGTCCAAGGCTAAATGTAACCAGATGATGAGTAAGCACAAACACAACCTGACCTTGTTCTCAGAATCCATCAGACAGCCTGCTGTTTGTGTGTGTGTGTGTGTGTGTGTGTGTGTGTGTGTGTGTGTGTGGTGATGCAAGAGAGGCAGAGAGAGAGAGAGAGAAAGAGATACTGCTCTATGGTACCTCTGTTATTGTAATATTGCTTATCAGATCTTAACAACTTTTTTCCAGACTGGCCAAATGGTGGTGTGCTAGTTGGGCCAGACTTTAGAAAGGGCTTGCAGTCCCATTTTTTTTTTAATCTTATTTTCTTTGGGGGAGTGGGTGCAAAGATTTTTACTTAATGAATGCACTTTTTTAGAAACATTAAACTTTATACAAAACCAAATCATTCGAGTTGTATTATTGCAGGATTTTTAATTAATATAAACAAGTATTTGAAAATGAATAGTAGTAAATCTGAATTGGTAAAAAGATTTTTCCTTTAGGTGGGGCACCAAAACTGACATCCTTGTAAATTTGGTCCTGTGAGTTTACAGAAAGCAGGATGTACAGCATTAATGGTTACTGTTTTTTTTTTTATTTGTTTTTTTTTTTTTATTTCAAACACATGCATGTTTCACAGGAGTCAATTAGTTTTGACTTTATTACTTTCACTTTCACACGGTTTTAATCCAACTAACCCATCTTTATCTCCTTCCATCTATCCTTCCATCAATCACTTTTCTATTAATCACTTATTCACCATTCATCCCCCAATTCACTCTGGCTAACCGTGGATTTTCTTTCTTCTGCTTCTATCCACAGTCCAAAATATACATGTGGAGTTGGATTTCAACAAAGACAAAATTCAAGGCTTTTTCGAGCTGTTCCATCCAAAATCGCTCTGCTCTTTGGTTGTGAGGAGATAGTACACAACTGATTATGGTTATTTGTGCAAAAGAGCAACCTGCTGTTGAAGAAAACACCAGCTCCAAGTCTATTAAGACTAAGCTGTCAAGCAAATGCAAGAGAAAACAAAAAATAATGAGCTACCACTGGCTGAAAAGAACTGCAGCAGTCCAGATATTTCCATGTGTCAGTCACTGTGAGGAGCTGCCTTATTCAAATACAACACATGGGGTTGTAGGATGTTTGATTTCATCCGCTATTTACCATCAGTGTTGTGAGGAGCTGAAATGGAACAAAAAAAGATTTGACAAGTATATATACTTCAGTGCCGCAAGCAAGACATGACGTATTATCGTTTATAAAGATTTGAGAGCAGGACGAAAAATATCAAAGTTAGTTGGGATGTTAATAGTGAATTCATTACTTATTTTGTCATTTGGTGATAGATTATTTTTGTGTCTTATTTCCTGTTTAAACTTGTTCCAACATTGTAAATTGATGATTTTCTTAGTTTATATATTTTTTTATTAGAAATTAGAATCAGGATGTGTTCACACTGCAGCCTGAAGTGACCCAATTCCGATTTTTTTTTTTTGACGTAATGTGACCTGTATCTGATCTTTTCATGGCAGTGTGAACAGCACAGGTCGGATTCTTTTTCGAATGTGACCCATATCCGATACGTATCCGATTCAAATGCGACCTAACGTCCAGGTCGCCTTCATCCAAACTGAACGTCACTGATTCTCAACAAATCTCACTATACTGCATCCTGATACGCGCAAGTGGGAAGAAAAACAACAACCATGACGGATTATATGAGGATTAAGTTGTTAATATGCTGCTCTGGTTGGACAACAACTTCAAATATGTAAGCTAAGCTCCACCGTTAGCCTCCATGTTTACTTCCGCAAACACTGAGCACTTCTTTTCATGGCGGTTGGCAGAACACTGAGAACGCTGACGCTACTGCGCCCCTACTTTGTATGCAGGACACTTTCAGGTCATTTGCCCGTTCACACTGCAGAACGCATACAGGTCGCATTTACTGGCAGTGTGACCAAAAAATTGGAATTGGGTCACTTCAGGCTGCCGTGTGAACGCACCCTCAGATTTATTGACAAAGACTGAGCACGCAAATGAGGAATTTGACAGCAGCTCCACACGATCGCTCACGGTATGCAAACATTAAGTATTAATTTATAGCATAAACTATAAAAACAGTGTGTACACACATGGATACCTGCTTGTGCAGCCAACTGGCAGGTTGTGGTAGTGCGAATAAGCTTATTTTGTTTCAAAGTGGAGTAGCTGACTAGAGCTACTCCACAGACTGAAAAAATGGCTGTGAAGATGATGATCAACAGTTCCTTTGAAAGGTTTTACTCCTTGAGTCGCTGTTGGAAGTAGGGTCTCTGCTGGGCCTTCTCCCAAACAGTGCAGGATGACGTAAAGTCCCATACTGACTGCGTCATCTGCAAACCTGCTTGCCGCTGCAGGGGGTCATGCAGACGGCCTATGATGACCTTCAGATGCTTCAACAGCAGTCACTGTATTTCATGATCGCAGACGAAAGAGCCTGCAGTCACTTAGCCTTAACCGTTTCTTGTGGACCGGCATGATGGTGGAACGTTTAAAGCAAATGTCAAAAATAATTTGAAATCAACCTTTTCACAGCAAGGGGTTGTAAATAATTAATGGATTCAGAGAGAAAACAGGAGTGTTATAATAACTGTAGAGGAACCAGTAATTTAGCAGAACCACAAATTGCTTGGCTTTTTAATGGAAGTGAACAATTACTGGACTCTACTTAGTGAATAATAATAATAAAAAAAAACGGTTATTACTACTTTGTGTCTTCTTATTTTAACTTAACTGCTCTACACTGCTTTTGTCTTTTATTTATCTGCTCAACACTGATTCATTAAAATATTCCAAAGATGGAATATTTTAATGAAATACACAAAATATTCAGCTTCATGTAGAAAACAGATCATACCAAAAACATCAGAAAATATCTTGCATAATTGTAATTAATGATGAGACTTGACAAATGTCATATTTACTTACTTCATAATTGGTTATCGTGTTACATTTTTATCACGTAAAGCATTTGAAATGCCTGTTTGCTGTAATGTGTTATGCAAATAATCTTGACTTAACATTGTTATAAGACAGTCCTACAGTTTAAGATATTTTTTGGGTTGATTTCTTCTCTTTTTTTTAATTTTTTTTTAGTCTTAGCAACAAAGACGGGACTTGGTTTTCCTTTACACATAGCCTTTTGTGGGTAAACTAAAAAGTTTCAATTGACCAGAGCTCCTTCATGCACATGTTTGCTGTTTACCTTAGTTGGCTTGAAGCAAACTGCCTCAATGGTGCTACACAGTGTTGGTCTGTCACATAAAATCCTTATGGAATTCATGGTTGTAATATTAGATTTACTTTTTACTTTTATCATCTCATTTGATTTTCTTTTCTGGCCAATATTTCATTTTTTTTCTCTCCTGCTCATCTTCTTGACCTTAGTTGCACTTGCCTGTCTTCACTGCTTCCCTGCTATCCTTTTATCAAGATTATAAAGGGGCAAGCTCAAGACGGAAGAACTGAGGACAAGGAGAGGAAGCAGAGGATGTCCTAAAAGAGACCCCTAACACGGCCA